TGGTCAACGAACTCAATCTGTCACTTTAGGGGAGAATGACAACTGTGTTCAATTCGGCAGATAAAGTGGCTACATTCAAAGCCAAACTGGAATTATGAGGGTGATGAGTGAACATTGGGGTTTTTGTCATGTTTCAAACATTAGCAGAAATTTTGAAAGAGACTGAGCCAGGGCCTTCTTTTTCCCAGCTGGTGCATGATCACCTATCTCAAGATGATCAAAAGAGTTTGAGCATTACTTCCCAACCAGAAAAGACCCCTGAATTGAGAAGGAATGGATCTGTGACCCATTTGTGAATAAGCCAGGTGAATCAATTTTGTCCGTGCTAGAAGAGGATCAACTGCTTCAGACTGAAGATGACGGTGGCCTTAAAAGTATGTTTGAGACAACTTCAAATCTCCATACGTTCTGGATTAAAGTCAAGGCGGAATATCCTGAGATTGCCGCAAAAGCACTGAAAAGCCTGCTTCCATTTCCAACATCCTGTCTTTGTGAAGCAGGGTTTTCTGCAGTGACAGCAACCAAAACGAGATTACAGAGTAGACTGGACAGAAGCAACACACTTCCGGTGTCACTGTCTCCCATCACCCCCCGATGGGACCATCTATTTGCAGGAAAACAAGCTCAGGGCTTCCACTGATTCTGCATTATGGTGAGTTGTATAATTATTTCATTATATATTACAATGTAATGATAATAGAAACAAAATGCACAATAAATATAATGTGCTTGAATCATACCAAAACCATCCCTTCCCCTCCTCCCCCCGGTCCATGGAAAAATTGTCTTCCACGAAACCAGTCCCTGGTGCCAGAAAGGTTGGGGACTGCTGTATTATAAGATATTTGTGAAGTTTTCATAAAAGTTCACATAGGAGCTTTTACTGGAATACTGAGACCTAAGAGAGAATTATTCCCATGGATTAAGATAAAACAACACTATAATGGACTGTGTCCTCAACAATATTCTTCATTTATAATAACATAATACAATGTAATATAATATCACTGTTCTAATGCTAAAATTAAATTTACTAGGAATTCACTTCACAGTATTCATTTAACAGCCTGGCTGGAACCATGGATAATGTTGAGAAAAGCTAGATTTGTGTTTTCCAAAGTGTATTCATTAGAACACTCATTTTACAGGATAATAAGTGTTACACCAGTAAAGAGTTCCAGGATTATTGGGAATTGCTAGGATAAAAAATATTAAGCAGAGGGCTTCCATGGTGGCACAGTGGTTGAAAGTCCGCCTGCCGATGCAGGGGACATGGGATCGTGCCCCGGTCCGGGAGATCCCACACGCCGCGGAGTGGCTGGGCCCGTGAGCCATGGCAGCTGAGCCTGCATGTCTGGAGCCTGCTCCGCAAGG